CGATATCTACGACCTGCCGCAGCCGCAGCCGGTGTCCTGGGAAGAACCCGCAGTCGAAGGCAAGGGCAAGGGCAAAGTGGAAGAGCAGACCGAGGGCGAGTTCACAGAGAGCGACTTGGCCTTCCTACTTCAGTACATTGCGCCTTCGTACCTGACGCCCGATATTGCCGAGGAGATGTCAGACGCGTTCTCAGCCGAGTCCTCGCTCAGCCTGGAACGGTTCCTGGGCGATAAATTTGGATCGCGCGTGAGCGCGTACATCGAGGAGCAGGAGAGACAGCCTCTTCCTGATTCTGCAGATGAGATCCAGACACAGCGCGGGTGGACGGTTGCTCGTCCTCCACACAAGCACCGGTATCTGTATCAGCATGCTTCCGGAGAGAAGGACACCGATAACCCGATCCAGGAGCTGTTGAACGTGCTGTTCCCGTCACAGCCTTTCCGGAAGTGGCTTGGGCTTGTTACTGGTGTGGACCATCTCACGAGTCACAATTTACTTGCTAGACGGTTCCGTCGCGGTAAGGACTATACTCTTGCCAGTGCGTATGAGGGCGAAGAGCCTCGACTGGAGTTCTCGCTCTGTCTTACCCCGACCACTGGATGGGAGAAGCAGGAGGAGGAAGACGATGATGAGGATGAGGACGAGGATGGAGAAGCCAATGGCTCGTCTGCTAAGACATCCAAGCCGAAGGAAAAAACAACCGACGACGCTGTGGAAGGCCCCGCACTAGGTGGGTACGAGATTTACATGGCTGGTGATGAGGATGAAGATGAAGAGGAGGAGGACGAGGAGAACGCCGACCAAGTCCTGGGTCGGAAGAAGACCAAGGCCGACCCGGCTATCTACCGGTCAGCGGGTGCAGATGAGGACGATGGCATTCTGTTCAGCACGCAAGCGGGATGGAACCGACTCAGCATTGTGCTGCGGGATAGCGGCACTCTCAAGTTCGTCAAGTATGTCAGTGCTGCGGCTAAGGGTGACCGATGGGATATCACCGGTGAGATTGGCGTTGAGTTTGAGGAGAATGATGATGATGATGATGATGATGATGGTGATGAGGGTGAGGATGAGGATGATGAAGAGTAAATCATGATCATGGCAGCATCCATACATGTGAAAAAAATTGTAGATATTATATATGGCGCATATACGACTTGAATTGACTTGATGAAATTACACTCCGAATTATATTAGGATGGTTCTCGTTTGGATATGTTTCTCTTGGAGACGATATGTAACTCCCTTGACAACCGCAGAGGTTAGAGAGCCTACGGTCTTGCTAGTTCTTGTTCTCTTAAACAAACGAAGAGAGAACAAGCTGTATGGTATATCACATGAAATATCCAAAAGCAAGTGAAAATGCAGATTATAACATATGTTGCGACATCATAGGTGGATGGTGTATCAGCCGGAGGCATAGTACTTGGACTCAAACACCAAAAAGGATCTGCCAATTCAACATCTTTACTCTATATGTTGTAGTGCATCGAGACGTGCAGTAAAATATAACATCCTAACCGAATGAGTGAGACTCATTTTTGAGAATAACAGGGATTATGTCAAGTTTACTTGCGGAGTAGCTGACCATGAACTCTGTACATTCCTTCTGATTTACACTTCTCTTCGGCAGCTCAGCACTGGGAAAGGTTTAGCACAACAGTTATATCTAGCCATACATTCAGCTTAATATATTGCATGAATCATCATTAAAACTGCAGTGGTCGAGGCCATGGTATAAAAAGGCCAGTCCTACGGGATATGGTTGCAAAATAATCCTCAAGGTTGATTGTTAGCTTAATTTTAAGAGGAATCACATTGTCCATTGTCCACCATGACACGCCTCTCTGCCCTAGTCGGTCTAGGCCTATTTGACTCCTACCCTATTTGGCATTTGCTATCATTGACAAACGGACACTAAAGGCTTTGATTGGAATAGAGCTTTCATTAACAGCTCAATCCAACGTGTAGATGTACTACAAAGCTAACCGTAGCGTTCTTTCTTTACCTCTTCCCCTCTGCTAAGTTGTAATGAGCCTTCGCGTCGCAGGATGGACCCCGCCAACCCACTTTCTCCGTAGATTTATAGTGGAGGACAGCACGGGCGAGATGTAAGAAAACTTTGTGTGAGAATTATGGAGTACAAGTAGAAAGCTAATGCAATAAGCAATGCTAGAATGCTCATTGTGATGTTGACATATCATGCTCGTTTATTTAAATGACAGTTCTGGTACTCGGTAGACATATTTCTCTTGCGGATCGCAGAAGATTTCGGAAATACCGTCCAATGGGACAATTCAACATTTAAAACTGTTTACAGTCTTGCAGATATTGTCGGACCAATATTCTCGCTATACATATTCGCATTTTCAACCAATTCGTTGAATTCAACATTCAACATACAACCAGACTAGAATATACCAATGCATCAACACAATCTCCGCACCAGCGCCTAGCAAGTTCCAATCTTGACCTCAAATTCTACAAACCACTGACATCATCCACAGCGGCAATTGAAACCCATAACAAAGTAAACAAGACACGCGGGGCGATCCCGAGAGGCGCGGACTGAAACAAGCACAAGCACATGGGCGGGATCAATGGACCTCGAGCGGCGACACGATCTGAGACACAGCAAGGGAAGAATTGAGTATTAATTAAGGGCTATCACGACCATTTCGAATGATACAGGGGTGTAAAATACCCAATCGATACAATCTTGGAAGTGGGGGGAATCGACGAAAAAAAACATGTACCTAAATGTAAATCCAAGCAACCCACAAAATATGCACAAGCACAAGTGGATGATCGACAGCATTATGTCGTAGTGCACATGTACGATGCATGTATGTACTCCGTACCTCAGAGGAAAAGGGAGAGCTACGGTACACATGGCGCCGAACATACATTTACATTTACACATCCACATCCAGTAAGGAGGGAAGCCGGGAAGCGGCGACGATTCCCCGTGGAATTCTCGACATGCAAGACAAGACATGTTTGGCAAATACTGGCTCCACCAGGACTATGTATTGAGTGCAACCCTTTTGCTACGGGGCGTTCTGACATTCGACACGCGACAGCACCTAAACCGAGAACAGGATGAATCCAGTGGGGTTTGTGGCAGGCAAGGGGTGTGGTGTGCCACGATGATTTCAAGGGGAGGGAGATCGTGGAATGATCTGCCAATCATGCCTGGGTATCGGGTGATGATATGGAGTACGGATGGTGGGATCATCGAGGAATTGTTGGATGGATACGGGGAGGCTTTCTGATCTAGCATAAAGCAGTGTAGTAGCAGCATATTGCAGATTAGTGACCTCATCTCAGCTTCGCCAGAGGCGATTATTTGAGACCTGGTGGATTCAAGCCAGATCGCGTCGATCTTAACTGCTGTATTTGTCCTCGATGATATGTCTGATGATGTTCAAGTCGACTCGGGATGGGCCGATGTTGGGGAAAGTGAGGGGTCCTGGATCCATCGACACCTGAGAGCCTGAGGGACCAACGTTGGGATTAGTTGGGGTTAGGTAGCAATGGCGTTGTATTTTAGTTCCTGTAATTTCTCCAATTGATCTGTTATTAGGCTGCTGTGGCGCTCATCTAGTCATTGACCCAAATTCAAGCGCGAAACACTGAACATTGGACCAAACCAATGAACTGGTCGGATTAGGCGGTTTATGTAGAACAAGTGTCACGACACGAACAAGAAAGTGATTAAGACAAGCTCATACAAGTCACGTTGTGTCTTCCCTTCATAAGCATCCAATATGTCAACATCAGAGGAAACCCGCCAGTCCAACATAGACGCACCACAGCTCCCCTTCGAAGTCAACGGCCTCTACATCCTATTATCTGACCGCGGCGACAAGAGCTGCACCTTCCACTGGAGCCTCTATCTACACCAGAGTCCAAAATTAGGCTCTATCTACCATCTACTAAACGACATCGGCACAAGCACCTGGCGCTTCGAACATCTGCCCAATGAGAGCGTCATCTACGACAAAGCGCTCCTCGGGGCCCTCAATATAGGAGTATTAGCCCCTACCCTCCACACGCCATTCCTTGACCGTCTGCACCAAATCCCAATCGCCGATTCAATCCGATTCCGCGAGAGAATCACTTGCCGGGTGTGGCTGAAAGAAGCTCTCTTTGCACTCGATGACGAAGGATATATCATGCTCACTCGGAGTGTGGATGACATCGAAGCTGAGGCGAGGAACCTCGCACTTCAAAATAAGAGTCTAGGGAGGCGGACGGTTGTGAAGAGTGGTGGGAGCCAAGCCTGAGATTCCAGTCATGTGAAGACTCGAGTGGATTACGGTAGTATCATGCGTAGGGAAGGAAAGAGGCTATTTTATACGAGCAGAAAAGGACAGGCAAATCCAGCCACCCTAGCCATTGTTATTCCAGTCACAAGTGGATCCAAACATTTCAAAGCCGAGCGCCAATATTGTCTCTGTTTCAGCAGGATAGCCAACAATACTCCTACCTGTGTGCAGGTGGGTACGAAATCATTGTACGACGGAGGTGGTTGGGCGGCGGCACGCGGAAGTTACGGGTGGACAAGACGGGAGGTTTCTGGTCGTAGTGGATATGCTGGACGATAATTGAATATTTGCATCTGTGCCCACATTCTAATTTGGAAATCCCGGTATGATCTGCCAGCCTTGTCTGCATGTAACCTCTAAGCTTTGACTGTGCGCTCCCCAGCTTCGGGGAACGGGAGCCGGTGTGAGGATCGTCGGCAGGAGTTTGAGTTGGGAGGCTGTTTACAATATACAACATAGGACGGAGGACGGAGTACTTTGTACTTTGTACGTACATATGCAAATAGACAGGTATGTGCAATGTATGTACGATCTACGTTGTATATGTCTAGCTAGTGGGAGGTGGTAGTGCAGACGCATGCGCGGGATGGCATTACATACATGCTTGAGACTTTCGGATGACTATGGGGCATTATTCATTACAGTCCATTATTGCACAAAGGGGTTCTGCCATGCGAGGGAATAAGCTGGAGTGGGAATTGAAGGCAAGAAGAAAGGCAAAGGGAAAACGGAAAAGAAAAAGTACCTACATCCCTGGACGGTACGACCCGTCCATACAGACAGACTATTGGGAAATGGCAGCAAGGCACGGCCCATGACCACGACCGAAAAGGCGTGGAGGCAGGAATGGGCAAGGGCCACGGTATTGCCATGGGCTCCGAGCAGATGGGATGGGAGAGCATGGGGGTTTGCCATGGGCGAGCCATGAGAGGAGGCATTCGCATGAGCCAAGCACTATTGACATAGTGAACTCTATAGTGACCCCATCCCTTGATAGGGTGTACAACGTTGTAGAGATAGAGTCGTACTGAGAATTCCCGTTGCCGATGGGCCGTTTTGTGGACCTTTTTTGGACCTTTTTTTTTTCCGAAAGACCAGCTGTTTGGCAAGATTGAGCTTGGAGTCTCCGATAAGCTATGTCCTATCGTCAAGTATGGAGAAGTGCTACCGTGTCAGAGGTTCGAGGAATGTGCCGTAGATCGGGTGGCGATCGAGACATTCTGCAAGGCGACGATGGTGCCATGTGGCATGCTGGAAGGGGAAGATGATAGACAGTGGTAGTTGACATGCATATGGTTCTTGTATTGAATCTGTGCTGCCTAACTTACTTCTACAGCATACAGCATAGGTAGTGCAGAGCATGTGGGTAAGGACGACGTGTTATTGCAGCCACAGTGTGGCGGTGTCCATTGGGCCGATGCACGGGATTGGAGTTGATTGAATTGATTGAATTGTTTCAATAGTGTATTTTATAGGTTTACAGGTTACAAACGATTGGGGCTGGTCTATTTCTGGACGAACACCCGATCAAACGGAGTATGGGATCGATACACCCAAAAGCCACCTGGCAGGTATTCCCTAGGAAGTCGGGTAAATAGCCTATTCCCAAAAGAATCGATCAGACTATATGATTAATATATCGCATATTGCTGACTCGACCTCCATTCCCCAATCGACTAGATCGAGATCCCGATCCATCATATTCGCCAAGACTCTAGGTCACACTGAACTGTCGGAACCGGGATATTACCCTCAACAGCCCCGTTAAATTGGTGAAAATAGCCGCGCGACATAACCCAGTCTGCTGTGCTACCCATCTAGGCCCCTCTGACAGGTCAACATGTGATGATTTGGGCGGCAGGGACGGGTGGGTGCATGAGTATGGTATGAAGCTCAAGCTCATGGAAGCGTGGGTGATCTGTGACACACTTTCTGTCTGTGTCCGAGGTGTTACAAACAGAAAGGGAGTGGATCTGTTTTAGCTGGGTATTCGATACATTGTAATTATAGAAATAGAAATAGAAATAAGAAATAAGAAATAAGAAATAAGAAAATATAAGGATGAGGATATAGATCATAACATGTGAACCCTCGGTGAATAAGAGGCCATGTGTGGGACTGAAGAAAAGATGTTATTCTTCACCATGGAGGACAAGGATTAGCACAGGGATGGATTCGTACTAGACAGCTTTGGTACTTTATTCCAAACTCCAAACAGAAGTAGAAAAAGTAGAAATGTAACTATTTGCCCCCGAGACTGCCGATCAACCCTGCATCCTCTGCCATGTGTCCAACGTCAACATGGTTTGTTTATACAGACTTACAGACTGACCTTACAGTACTAATCTCCCAAACGGGTGTGTGCAGTTAGCCCCGGTCGCGAATGCAGCTTGACTGGGCAATAAGTAGGAGACTGCAAGGGACCACGTGAAGGTATTGTAATAGTATTCTATATTCTAGTCTGTATATTGTGTTTTATTCTATTTTATTCTGTTTTATATTCTATTTTATGTTTTATATTCTATTTCTAAATGACGTTAAGACTCAATGGAAACGTGTTTCTCCTTGCTTTTTCCAGGAATCTAGTTGTATTCAGGAATGCAGTGACTATATAAGGGAATATGTATAGAATAGAGTAGTTAGGGTTAATAACAGTAATATAATCTAACTAATAGAGTGCTAATACAATAACAAGCCAAGTATAGTCTAGTCCTTACTCCCCAGGGTCAGCCTCGTGGCACACACAGGTGCAGTAGGGCCTTGGCGGTAATACCAGTACTCGCATTCTTTGCATTTCTTTTCTTTTATTTCGTTTATTTCGGTCTTTTTCCTTTCGATTTCATTTCCGTGCTATTTAATTTCATATTTTGTAAAGGGGATGCCAAAAAGAAGGTTAAAAAAGAAAAAAAGAGTTTCAGACCGTCGAGGCTTTCGGCTTTCGAGTCTCCAATTTTCTACTTCTTTAATCTTTCCCTCGACTCACCTCTCTCTACTTCACTCTCTCGACTCGGCCTCGACTGCATAATACTCTATATACTCTATATCCTAATACCTCACTCCTCCGTCCCACTTCGGTAAGCTTGATCGGTGTTGCAGGGACCGCTCAGGTCTAACCTCCGATCTAGCCTTCCTTTTACCTCGCGCGAACCTGGAAACTTTGACAACGGGTTCACGGTGAATCGTTTCTCAAATTCAATCTCGACTCTCTCGATTTGGAATATGCGATAGTGTGGAAGAAAAAGAGCGGGCTGATATTCGATTCTTCTTCACTCCCCCGCCTGATCGTGCCTCTCCCGCCATGGATCCTGCTGTCGCACATCGCCCATGGGAGGCAGTCTCAGGGCCTCAGTCGACTGCAGGCTCCACGCAAACCCTCCCATCTATCTCGACCCTCACCGCAAATATGCCAGGGACCGGGGCCCCCTCCGAGAAATCCCCCGGGAATGGTTCGCTGAACACAATTGAGCGTGACTCCGGGAATTGGTCAATGCCGCAAAGCACAAGTAGGAAACCCTCGCCCAGTACGGAATGGGAGCGGCGCGGTGCTGACCGTGTAGGATCGTCTACCTACTCTACAGCGACCAATGGCACCGGCAACAACTATCCCTCCCTCAGCTTTATCTCCGCGTCGCAACCCTCTCCGAATCGCGGACATCCGGCTGTCGACCGCTCCCCTTACCCCCACGATCAATCTACCACCCCTTCCTCCGCCGGCACTCAACAACCCTCTCCCAACTTCGGCCAGCCGAATTCCACCCTCCCTTCAATCAACCAAAACTACGAAGCTCCCTCCCAACGAGTGAGCGTAGCCGAGACCATTGAGTCTCGGCGCAGCAGTGTCGACAGTCGCATGAACCAAGGGATCAGTTCTCTGGCAATCAACCCGGCCTCGCCCTACCACAGCACCAATGCCTCCCAATCATCCATCGTTTCAAGTCTACAAAGGGAGCGAGGGATTCCGACCGACATGAATTCATACCGGGGACCTCGGTACTCAGGAGGGAACCAGCCACTCTCTCCACTGGGCCCTCGCGCAACTGACCAGCAGCGGAGTTTTGCAGCCGGTCGCACTGCTCCGGCCATTTCCTCGAATCCTCGGTCGGAGATTTACAATGCTGAAGCACCCACGGCGGGTATGGCATATGCCTTCCCAGACCCGGCCGTGGCGCGCTCAAGCTCTGTCAGCTCGAAGGGAGAATCCAACCCTGCGTTTTCCCGGAAGGGGAGTATGGCGGAGTCTATGAATAGCATGTACTCGGAACGGATGCCACGAGGTCAACACGGTAAGAACCTGCACAAGACACACTGCACGCGCAATACTAACAATCTCCAGACCTACCCCAAAATGTACACCACCACCACTCCCTCCAACACAAGGCAGTAAGAGAGTTGATCGGCGAAGAAGACGGCCCGCCCGGCAGCACACCGTACAGCCGTACGCCCGAACTGCGCGTAACGCACAAACTAGCCGAGCGCAAACGGCGAAGCGAGATGAAAGACTGCTTCGAAGCGCTCCGGCTGCGTCTACCGCCCGGGCAAACCAACAAATCCAGCAAATGGGAGACCCTCACACGGGCAATTGATTATATAGCAATGCTGGAGAAAACCGTCGCGCAATCGCAGCGCGACCGGGCCGTTATGCAGTCTGAGATAGATGAGATGCGCGCTCAGCTCCAGCAAGCCAACGGCGTCCCCCGCCCCATGTTCGACCACCACCAAATGAACTCCCAGGTCAATGGCCAAGGCCCTGTCTACAACGGGTTCGGCAATGGCGTGACCCAGGAGCAGCCGCGTACGCTACCGCCTCTTATGAACGGCTCCAGTGCGCCTATGCAGGGCATTGAGTACGAGCGGCGGTAGCGACGGCAGGTGGCGTGAGGTGCGAGGAAAGCTCAAGCTGTGTATGAGATATGACTAGTCACGCAAAACCTATCATCAACGACTTCGTTTCTGACTTTCTCTTGGTATCATATGTCCCTCTATAGATGCGATCCCCATTCGACTTGCGACTTCGGGGTTGGTTTATACTGATTTTTTCTTGGATCTCATGGAGTGGTCTCTTTTTTCCTCATATTTTGTTATTCATACCCGCAATTGCTTTGCTTTGCTTTTTTTTTTTCTTCTATGAGGCCACTCTACATGGAAGATAGGGGATATGGAATACGAACATTGAATAGCTGGAATGGCTGGAATATGGATATTCATGTCTATTCAAAAGCATCTATACGTGGAATATCACATCCATCCTTGGAATATGAACAGTAGCACGAAAACATGTTTCAGAATGCTTCAAATCGTATGTATTACAATTAATCTAACTGGAGATCTATTTCTGTCCTTCCACTAATTGGCCTCTTGAAGCGCCCGCCCCCGGCTCGGCGCGTAGTGACTGGCCTCAGTCTGACATCTCGTCCAATCCATGCCCTTCATTTCCTCTTCCCCTGGTGATCTCTCTGCCAGCCGTCCAATGACGGACCTCGAAGAAGCAGCACGGAGCTACCTGCAGCGGGATGTCTGGGATCGCTGCAGAAATTCCCCAGCGCCGATGATCATTGGCTGGTTTGTTTATAGCTCGAGCTGTGCTGTAAATGATCGGGCTGGGCTCTTCTGCACTGTGATGATGCAGAAATAGAGCTTGAAGATTTAAATCTCGGGCTTTTCTTCTTTCTTTGTCTTTCCGTCTTTCTTTTGTTCTACATCTGACTCAATCGACTCTATTCAGCGCTATTGTGTATTGTTGCCTCCATTGTTTTACTTGCTATCATATTAATAGACACCCTCTTTGTTTGTCTTCCTGCGCTTTCGTCCGTTCATGCTTTCCTGACACATGGTATGTACACATTGAGTCCTCTCATTTCTTCAACTAACATCTCGACACAGTCAAGTCCAAACCACCATGTTCAAGCGAAAACCAGACCTCCAGGTCCCACTACCAAACTTCCCACTATCATCGCCGATCAGCGAAG